TGCGCCTTAGGTTCTGGGTTCAATCCCTGGTAAGGGCTGGGATTTTTTTTTCACGTGGACTTGGATTTCTAGTAATTCCCCCTGGTCTCTGGGTAGTGAGATCGGACGCCCGCGTGCATTGTTGCACACGTAAAAAATCCCTTGGTAGTTGGAAATTGAAAGAGTAGCCTAACGGTGCTGCCCGAGCAAAATTTGGAGTTACAAATCTACCCAAAGTATTTTAGGATCCTTACAGATGCTACATAGCATGTACACTGTGCTGAGCTTCTTTGGACTCAGACTTGAGAAGAACGGAGCACCTTGGGTTACTACTAGGGCTGTACCAAATATTCGCTTCGTATTCGCTTCGGGGAACAGTGGACATATTGCTTATTTAGTATTCGGCCGAATAGTTTCGGTCGGGCCGAATACGAATAGTAGTTACCTAACACCCGCTTCTGCATACACGGCCTTAATGCTGACAACATGGAACGATTGGTTTTGTTGAAAGCTAATGCAGCTTTCCTGCATTAACTAAGCTGCCAGTGACAATTTCCAAGTTTAGTTACTTGTTACAATACTTAGGATTCTTTCATTCCTAGTTATTAGTTACCACAGACTGACTGAAGGATGTAAAACATAAAATGTTTTTAAATGTTTACTATTCTGTACGAATACTAGCTAGACATGGAAAGAATATAAGCTCCGGCCACATCGATGTCGATAATATGAAAATCAACGAACGGAAACCAGCAAAGTTTGTGTGCAAACTGCAACTGCTCCAACATGCTGAGAGTAGAAATACAATCTAGAATACAATCTAGAAATAAAGTATACTATGCCCTTTAACATCTGCTAAAGTCAAAGTGTCTGTCTCGCAACATCAAGATCAAAATATACAAAACGTTGATAAGAGCAGTCGTTTTATATGGCTCTGAAACTTGAAGCAGAAATAAAAGAGATGAGGCATTATTACAGGCTTTCAAAACAGTCTTACGACAAATCTTTGGACCCATCAAAGATGCTAACAGCGTGGAATGGAGAGTAAGAAGCAACAACGTAACACATAATCTGTTTAAATCACCATTGATCAATGGCATCATGAGAGCTAACAGACTAAAATGGTTGGGGCACATTGAAAGAATGTTCAGATGACAGAGAAGTAAAAACGGTATACACCTCAGAGAGGAATGGGCGTAGACCGCAAGGCAGACAAAAAAGAAGTTCGAGAGAAAATGTCCAGTCAGACCTGCAAACAACTGGTGTCACAAATTGTGCAGAGAAGGCCAGCTAGAGAGATTAATGGAGACGAGTGATATCTACAGCAGTAAACCTCAAGGGCTGAGAATGCTAAAGAAAAAGATGACTATTCTGTGCTACTTTATGTGAAGTCAAAAGCTCAACGTGTTAGATATATTTTATACACTATACACTATTCGTATTCGGCCGAATAGTTGATCCCGCTATTCGTATTCGCCCTTGTTACTACCCGTGTAACATGATGTTGATCCGTTGTTCAAACCTTCAAACCTTGCCTGGAGGCAAAATAAAATGCTAACCTGCACAGTCCGTGGCGACTGTACTAGCCATGCGGTCCTGAGGCTTAAAATCCCCCTGGCAACACCGCAGAAGTGCGAAATACAAGAAGTAGTCGCAGTTTGTGTGTATTGGGGGGGAGGGGGGGGGTTAGGGAAAGCGCAGACTCTGTACTTGGATGGGGGTGGGGGGTGGGGGAGAATTAGTTATGCAGAATAGCACGATCGTCCCCTGGAGATGGGAGTCAACATTTGGCTCCTGCGGAAGCTGACAGTCAAGACTGATTGCCACTAAAGTTCGAGAGTTTTTACTTTGAAGATGGAAGACACTGGTGGATGCGAATTGTATATGCGGAGGGGCGATAGAAACTGAAGTTGAAGATGGAAGATAGGGGCCGTACATAATAATACAGCAAAGAGTAGCTGAACCCTGTTGTGAATTAAATGAACTGTGGCATTATATAGAGGATTGTGAATGCATTTGAAGAGAAAGGACAGGGACTTATATGACCATATATGGAAATAAAGGGCGGGGACTGTATATGAAGAAAGAGGACAGGGACTATATATGGAAATGGAGGGCCAGGACTGTGTATGGAGATGAAGGACAGGGGCTGTATATGACCATATATGGAAATGGAGGGCGGGGATTGTCTGAGGAATGGGGGGAAATGGACTGCATATACAAATGGAGGGCGGGGACTGTGTTTGAGTTTTGAGGAAAGGGACTGTAAATGTAGTGAAAGACTATGTTAGCAGCTGAGGGACAAGGATTATACTTGAAGATGGACATAAACAGTAAATGGGGAAGGATGCATTTTTTTGGGACCGATAAATCAGGTCTATGCTCTTGTCCTGGGCAAACAATATGGCCAACCGGTGACTATCCTTCGCTCTTTCCCGGCAACCGGGTTTTCAGTTGTCATTAAGAGTTTCAGTTGTTCTCCTGATAGTGCTTTGAAAATGCGGGTACTTTCTCAGTCTAATTTGTAAAATCACTTTACATTTGCTGTCTGTTTCTTTGAGAACTGGATCATTTATTTGTAGTCCCACCCCCCCCCCCCCCCTCCTCCTCTTCCTTTCAATCCATGAATTCAGGTCGCGCGCCCAACCTTTTCCTCCTTAAACTCCGCGGAATACATCATACCGTTCACCCTACCCCCCCCCGCGCCGATTTTATGACTCCCTTTACTATCCCCTCCTTAATTTCCGCTGGGACTCACAGATGTAATTGTTTACGAGCGATCCCTGTTTTTCCCTGTTTCACACGCATACACCACTACGGTTCTATGCAGCACTTAAACACACATTTGTACTGAAAACCCATTTGATCACTGTCGACGACCCGTGTTTAATAAGGAATTGCATTATTTGTATGTTCCTGTAAAAGCTCACTGACTACAATGTTTATGTTCATGTCCCTGTAAACGGTCACTGACTTCGACGGTTATTTTCCTCCCTACGGGACAAAGTTACCTCTGATGCCACGACAGTTCTGGATAGTTATACTGGATTGCGTATGTCTCTCTATTTCAGACAAATTATAATGTGCTTTTTTTTTTTTTTACAACTTTTTTATTTTTTTAAAATTTAATTGTAAGATATTTGCCCATTATGGAAAATAAAGGGATTATGAAGGCGAACATTAACCTAATAGGAACGGTGATTAGAGAGGCCAAAGATCCTGAACTGGATTCAACCCCATGGTATTCAACTCATTGCACTGATAGAGCGAGTGAGAGGAGAGTAGACTACGAGCCCCACGTGACACATAATGGCACAACAGGATAATGAATGAATAAAGGTGAAGTCGGGATATGTGAACCAGCGTCATAATGATAAATGAATGAATGGATGAATGAATGAATGAATTAGGAAGCAGCGGCTGCAGTGCCAGTCCTGGATTTAGGCATACGCTGTTAAGCTATAGTTTAAGGCCTCACAGTCTACAGACGCCTCAAAATACTCATGTTTTTTTTTTCTCTCCATAAACACGATTTTCTTTAATATGTTTATTTCCAAAAGTCAGTAGGAATGTTGCAATTTTATTTACTGTTTATCATTTTGGGTATACATTCTCAGGCTGTTACTTATTCTAATTTGTTATAGCCTATTTAAAATAAAATAAAATAATCAGCTTAGTCAGCTTTAATCTCCACCTTTTATTAACTTATATATTTAAAATGTTCTGATATTAATGGGTGTAATTCGGTAGGGTCTGCGTTTAAAAAAAATAAATAGATTTGGGCCTTATTAAGTCTAAATCCGGCCTAGGATAGCGCTATAATTAGACTTATTGCTGGTGATTTTAAGGTCTGGAGTTCAAATCCGCATTGATAGATAATTTTTCTAATTGACAAGCGCTAACAGGTCGGCTGAGCCTAAAATAGATACAGCGAAATATCTTGACGTTGCGAAAGGGCCTCATAATTCCAAGGTGCCCAGTTCGATCCCAGTTACAGGCGAATGGACAGCAGACTACTTTGCCTTGTTTTTGAAAGGGGTATTGACAGCCGCCATTTCTTGAAACATTGGCGACCTGCTGAAGTAAAACTGCCCGGTGAAATCACAAAGAACCATTGCACAAAAATCCACCGTCCCTATGTCAGATAACCATTTTTCGTTATTTTGAAGCCCCACCCTGTCTGTTGCCAGGGGCCCTAATATAACCTAACAGTTAAACGGGGTTTCCGAGACTTCTCCACGGGTGATCCTCATCACTTTGTGTCACCGGGTGTTTCTTGCTCTGTGCGATGTCCTTGTGGGGTAAAACTTACTTATATACTTACAAAGAGAACAACAATACTTGAACTGGTTCGGCAACGTCACGTAAAGGATACAGGATAAACAACTAAGTTGTTTATTCCTCTTTTTTTTTCTGTGTACCTAAAGTTCAGTTTATGTGACAAAATAACTGCCATTTGCTTTCCTTCCTGTCTGCTACCTCAAGGTTCCATATATCTGTGACTCAAAGGGTGTCATTCTTGGTGCAATCCGGAGAGAATTTAAATTACCCCGATCCACCTTTTAATTGAAAGCCGTCGTGGTGTAGCGGTTAGACTCTCGCCAGCGGTTCCGTTCAGTTCCTGACGGCGACCGGTTTTTTCTCTTCAAGAATGAGCTTGGATGCCAGTTCTACCCAGCTTTGGGAAGTAACGCGGCCGGAGTAATGCATCACCCACCAAGTGCCGTTTGGTCTATAAAATATAGGTCTAGCCCTATATACCCGATACACCTGAAGGTGTGGAAAAGGATCCTTTACTTTTACCTTTTAATTATTACACCTGCAAAAGTTTCACCGAGTACACCCTGACATGACTTGCTCTTCCTAGCAGGTATGGATTTATGCTCGTTACTCAACGTATGTGAAATAGCTCGTATAAAACACATTACAAATGAATTAAACATTGCAGCAACAATGTTATATCACAGTCACGCAGATCCAAATGTTAACACTGGTGATCCAAAAAGTTAGGATTAAGATTATTAACAATGCGATTCTTCGAATATACTTGTGGTGTTAGGAGTAGTTGATGCAACAAACGGTGCAGGGCAGAAAGTTGTACAATTTAGCAGGCCGTTTCTGATCCCTGGCAGATTAGCGTTTCTCTTGTTGGCTCTGTGCAGGAGGCGATACCGACAACACAGCAGTTTGATGAAAGTGATGCGAAATATGTTGTTGAAGATGGTATAGATAATGGGGTTGAGAGTGGAAGAGACGTAGCCCAGCCAAACGAAGGCGGTGATTAATGTGGGTTCAAATTTACACGATGTACATAGAGCTGTGAGGATGTTTACGGTGAAAAACGGCGCCCAACAGACGACGAAAATCATGAAGACTACTCCGAGAACTTTGGACGCTTTTTGTTCTGTTCTAACAGAGTTGTCTCTTCTAACACTGGCTGTGTTTGAAGACACCGGTACGGATGTCTGGCCCTGACTTTGATTATCCCGCTTCATTAATAAAATATTCGCAGCCTTTACGGCTACATGGTGCTTGCGAACCAGATCCCGGAGACGTCTGCCTTCTCGATTCGAAGATGATGTTGGAGAGGGCGAAGATGATGAAGAAGAAATACGAGAAGTGCAGCAGTTTTGTGGGTCGGAGTTTGAATCTGCGGTTATCTCGTCTTGGCGACCATTGAAATATGAAAAATCCGACACCTGTTTGAGTCCTAGATATACAGTGCTGTCTGTGCCGTTCTGGTGCGCAAACCGATTGCGCCGACCACCTGCACCGCTATGCGACGCGCTGATATTATTGTCCGTCATACAGTTATTGCTATTGTTGTTATTGTTTACCACCGCAGCACTTTTATAACTGCCACTTTTTTGCATGCAGCTGATGCTGCTGTTACTGACAGCGCTGCTGCTGCCACCTCCACCACCAACACAAACATCATTGTGGTGTCGATGTTGGACATTATGGTAAGATACCGGTACTGTATTATGCCGGGTCACTCCAGCAGACCGGTACCTCTGATGGAATGGAGCCATAACGCCTGCTATACCCCCTTCGATCAGTTGGGCCCCGCTGTAAGACGTCTCAGCTTCTCTGCTGTAAAACTTGCGCCTGGTTTGCCAGTTTCTCCTGCTAGTCGATCGTCTGATCATCGGCTGACCTTCACCGTCTTCGGCGGGACGGCTGTTGCACAGCCGAGCTTGTTTGTTCAGCATTCGTGTGGTAAGTGCATACATCAACACCATGATAGCTAATGGTATATAAAAAGCAGTTATTGAACCGTAAATAATAAAATACTCATTGTTCAAAACACACGAGCCTCCAACTAAGACATTGTCCTCCTTAACAACTCCGAGGATGGTGATTGGGCTAGAGATTGCTAAAGATATCGTCCAGACAAGTACGATTTTGAGCAGAACGATACGTTTAGATTTGTTCTTAGTCCACAATGGATATCGGATGCCTATATATCGTTCCAGGGAGATCGTACACAAGTGTAGGATGCTTGAGGTACACATGAGCACGTCTGAGGTGACGAAGAAATCGCAAAGCAGCAGTCCAAAAAGCCATCGCCCTGAAATTAAAAACAAAGATGTCATGTTAACCTGATGTCACTACTAGAACTGTGTGTACTTAAAATTACACAGTAACAAATTGGTAATGTTTGGGACAACTGTTGAGGTTCCCGAAATAGCGGGATAAATGTATTCTCGTGTATTGATGGGCCTAAATGAGAAACAGACATGAGAGAACACAGTAAATAACATATCAAGCTTTGAGTCCGGCTCTCTAGCGTAGCTGAATAAACCGGATAGAGCGGTGACCGGGTGACGAACTCCTTGTGGTCCGGGTTCACTCCCGGGGGTAGGCAGAAAAGCCACATTTCTTCAAGATTTACGGTATTTACAATGGAATCAAGGCCGAAAGGTTGCGATATCCATAATAACGAGCCTAAGGGTTAACAACTCATGGCTTCTGGATACTAAAACAAACAAACATCAAGCTTTCAATCTGTACCCTCCAAAATAAATCACCTTGTACAATATATATATATTTATATAAATATGGGCGTCTTCTTGGCGAGATGGTCAAACCGTTCACCTCGGGTTCAGGGGGTCGTTGGTTGGTTTCACTGCTTTGACATTCAGTCCCTGAGTGCAATTTTTAGGAAAATCTTCGGGGAACGTCGCTGGAGCTACGGAGTTTGAGTGCTGTACGGCGTTCTCGGTAGGCAGATAGCCGTTCTGCAGAGAGAGAGAGCTAGCTTTATGGAATAAAACCCAGTGCAATGAAGTCGATCATCTCAACTTTAACCTTTAACCTCTCTCTGTCTCTCTCTCTCTCTCTCTCTCTCTCTCTCTCTCTCTCTATATATATATATATATATATATATATGTATATATATATATATATATTACATATATATATATATACACACATACATACATATACATACACCTACCTACCTACATACCTACATACATACATACATACATACAGACATACAGACAGACAGACAGACAGACAGACAGACAGACATACAGACACAGACATACAGGACAGGACATACAGACAGACACATACATACATACACACACGCGCCACACACCACACCACATATATATATATATATATATATATATATATATTATATATATATATATATATATATATATATATAAATATATATATTGGTGGTGACCTATAAAATGGGTGGCCAGTTATCTTCGACTTTATCATGTTTCATGCCAAAACAGTTGCTATTAAATTCAGTTAATTCTCTTATACCCGATTTTTACAAGGCTGGCGGTATGTATCTTGGTAAACGGATAACATCCGACGGAAGATGTATCACAGGGATAAATATTAGAATAGGATAGGTTAAAAGTTCATTCTTTAAAAAAAAAAAACGTTTGTATGCAATAAATCCATGTCATTAGAGATTTAAAAAAACTTATTGCATGCTATACAGAGCCACTTTTAACATATGGCACTAAATATTTAATAATGTATAAACAAGTTGAACAATTTCTAGAGGCCTCGGAGATGTGATTTAACAGTATAATTCTTAGATTTGATTAGAAACCCAAAAAGCGCCATCTGGATGTTTTTGAAAGGGCAAGGGATCAAAGAATCCTGATCACAAAACAACAGAAAAATAATTGCTGTCATTTTTTTGGGTCATTTTATGTGAAGTAGGAAACTGGAGCCTTCTGTAAAAACTGGAAAGATCTGTGGAAAAAAATGAAGACAAGACAAGAAGATTCATGATAGCCTTGAGTCAAGTCTTAGACTGGTGTCAGTACACGAACTGACACCTGCTGTTGCAGATGGCAATTTGTGGCCAGGAATGATCGCCCACCCCAGTCGGCAAGGCACTTGATGATGATGGATCGACACCAAGACTGTACTGGTCATTGGGGGGGGGGGGGGGGGGGGGGGGGTGAGGGGAAACCTGTCACTTCTAGGGATCAAACCCAAACCACTGTCTCTGCAGGTGGGCGCACTAACACCTATGCTAGAGAAACTTAGAATACACTAACAAAAAAACAAAAACAAAAACAAAAAATTAATTACTGCCTTTATATACCCCTTCTGCAGTGTAGGCGGGGCGGGGGTTGGAAAAAAAGAGAGGGGGGGGGGGGTCTTTGAGCCTAAGGATTTAAGGCCGCATGGCTAGTGCTGTCGCCACGACTGTGCAGGTGAGGATTTTATTTTGCACCCTACAGACAAGAATCACCAGCCTTGAACCATCCGCGTGAGAGCCCAGCGTTCTAACCGTTCGGTGATCCGCTCCCCTTAGAATACCCAGTCTGTGGAAAACATCCAGATGAAAACAAAATAAAACGTAGAAAACAATACAAACGATGTAAACATTGATAGCGCTTAAATCTTGGATAAAGATGAGAAAATCAGGTCACATTACTACATTTTCTTATTCTCTTCCACATTGTTCCTCATCGAAGTGTCGGGGGGAGATGTAATGTTCGCTGATGAGCTCTGTCAAGAGCACTATTAAGACAGATGTTCATTTCTGTAAGGCTGTTCTTAATGCCATCACTCCATATTTTCCGAGGTCTCCCACTCGCTCTATACCCGTTGTAACGTTTTAGTGTGGCAGATAGAACCAGGGCATTCTTGTTAGGTATCCAAACCACTTCATTTGTTGTTCTTTGATGACATGTAATCTGGCTTTATTCTTAGCATTCGTCTCATTTCGTGATTTCGTATTCTGTCTTTCCTTGAAACTCCTGCAGCTCTTCTAAGGCTTTTCATCTCTATTGTCACAATGTTACCCTCATTGGAGGATGTAAGTGTCCACGTTTGGCACTGATAGCATAGTTACTACATCACCGGTCAATAAAAACAGTTATTGTAGGTATATAATTAATTAATTATTTTATCTGCAGACTGAGTTGGAGTCAGTGTGGTGTGGCGGCCAGACGCTCGCCTGTGGATCGGAAGGTCGTGGGTTTGAGTCCTGTCAGAGTCGGAACTTTTTTCTTAAAAAAATGACCTTAGCTTACAGGTCGACCCACCCTTGAGTGGGTACCACCTTCAGTCCTGGGAAGTAAACGCGGCTAACGGCGTAATACTGACCACATCATCCACCCAGTGCCAATTGGTCTATAAAATAAAGGTGTAGCCCTATATGCCCAATACGTCTGGAGGCTTGGGAAAGGGACCTTTGCATTTTTTTTTTCAAAACTACATACCGAACAGCCTAGCGGGGAAACTCTCTGTTCTTTTCTGTCGAGGCACCACATCATGCGAGATTTAGGAAAATCCCATAATATAGAGTGGTTAGTGTTAGTAGTAGTTGCTAGTCATTCAACACCAGCCCTAACACTAATTCCCCCCCCCCCCCCCCCCCCGTCTTTTTCCCCCACCCTTATACTATAGAATGTCTCTACATCTTGCATGATGTGGTGCCTTTACAGAAAAGAACCAAACTCTCTGAAACCACTAATTCCGTATAAGTCAAACTGTTTCTTTCTTTCACAGCACTGTGAATGTTAGAGCAGCAGTTCTTAAACTACACAGGGGTCACCCAAGACCATCGCAAAATAAATATTTATTCAAGCTATAAATTAGCGACGAAAATAAGCGTATGGTTTTGGGGTCGCTACAACATGAGTAACTGTCTTAAAGGGTCGCGGCATTAAGAAGGTGGAGAAATGAAAGAAATGAAAAAAGAACCAAAATGAACTACTTCGGCCACATTTAAAGACATAACACACTTTTAAAAACCACACTGCAGGAGAAGATTGAAGGAAAGAGATTAAGAGCTGGACAGCGGTACTAGTGGGCGAAGACCATCAAGAGATGGACTGGCAGATTTTTTAGAGAGTAAACAGCTAGGCGAAGAGACAGCCTATTGGAGATTCATTGCAGCCAAACTCTACAGTGAAGGTCCTGATTGATTGACTGACCACTCAGTTGTAATTGGTGTCTGGTGCTTATACGTTGCGAATGTGTTCTGTAATTTCGAGGTATCCTGTTCTACTCCAGCTGCTAGCGATTTGGCAGCAGACCGGTTTGAGTTGATTTCGACCTTGGTATCAAGAGCCAACTGTTTAGAAGGAATAGCAAACTACTGAACGTAAAATTACCTGCTAAAAAAACTAAAAGCAGCCAGCAAACGCTTGGCTTGGTTCTGCGCTTTCCTTGAAAGGGTGTGCAACTAATTTTGCTAAAATGCTTACTTGTAAGTAAGTTCGTCATTATCATCATCATCATCATCAAGTGCCTTACCATCTGGTCTAGGCGTTCATGCATTTCGACAGATCTTGGTCTTTTGTGTTCAGGATTAATTCTACTGATGATATTCCTCCATGCCACTATCATAAGTCACCACTATAATTTCTATCGCGCC